GCTCCTTTAGGATACCACAATCCAACATTTTGTGTATGCTTTAAGTACCTCAATATTCTCTTTGTTGCCTTCAAATGACTTTTTTTGGTGAGGCTTGAAAATCTAGCACACATGCATACACTAAACATCACATCCGACCTTGATATGGTCACATAGAGTAGGCTACCAATCATAGATCAATACATCTTTTGATCCACCATGTCGCCACTAGCATCACTATCCAAGCTTCCACTTGTCCCTATTGGTGTACTAATAGCTTTAGCATCATCCATTCCAAACTTCTTGATCATGTCCTTGATATACTTGCCTTGACTCACAAATGTGCCATACTTCATTTGTTTGATTTGAAGACCAAGGAAGTAGCTAAGCTCTCCAATCATGGACATCTCAAACTCACTAGCCATCATCTTGCCAAACTCCTCATAAAAATCTTGATTTGTTGACCCAAAAATGATATTATCAACATAGATTTGCATTACAAACAAGTCATTTCCAAGTTTCTTGGTGAAGAGAGTGGTGTCAACCTTTCCCATTTTGAATCCCTTAGAGAGTAGGAAATCCCTCAATCTCTCATACCATGCTCTTGGTGCTTGTTTCAATCCATACAAAGCCTTTCTCAACTTGTAAACATGGTTGGGTTTTTTCCATCTTCAAAACCAGGAGGTTGCTCAACATACACAAGCTCATTTATGTACCCATTGAGAAATGCACTCTTCACATTCATTTGGTACAACTTTATGTTGTGGGCACAAGCATAGGCTAACAAGATTCTAATTGCTTCCAATCTTGCACCGGGGCATATATTTCTCCAAAGTCAAGACCTTTAACTTGAGTTTAACCTTGAGCCACTAATCTTACTTTGTTTCTTATTACTATCCCATCTTGATCTTGCTTGTTCCGAAAGACCCATGTGGTTCCAATCACATTATGATCCTTAGGTCTTTCAACTAACTCCCATACTTGGTTTCTTGTGAAGTTGTTTAGCTCTTCATGCATAGCATTGACCCAATCAACATCCCTCAAAGCTTCATCTATCTTCATAGGTTCAATGGATGACACAAAAGAGAAATGCTCACAAAATAAAGCCAATCTTGATCTGGTTTGTACACCTCTTGAAATATCACCAATGATAGTGTCCAATGGATGATCTCTTGCAACATTGGTTGGTTGAAGCACTTGCACTTGATTGCTAGCATTTGATTGATCACTTGGTTGAGATGATGAACTAGCCACTTGTTGATCTTGCACTTTGTCATGACTAGTACTTGCTTGAACTTGATCATGAGAACCACTAGCTTGCACATTTGAGTTAGAGAGCACTTGATTCTTGTCATCTTCAACATCAATCACCTCTCTAGGCCTTACATCACCAATGTCCATGTTCTTCATTGCATTGACCAATTGAGTGCCTTTTACATCATCTAGATTCTCATCTTTCTCTTGAGAACCATTTGTTTCATCAAACTCCACATCATGAACCTCCTCAAGAGTACCACTAGTCAAGTTCTAAACTCTATAAGCCTTGCTAGTAGTGGAGTAACCAAGCAAGAAACCTTCATCACATTTCTTTTCAAATTTGCTCAATCTAGTGCCTTTCTTAAATATGTAGCATTTACAACAAAAAACCCGAAAGTATGCTATGTTGGGCTTTCTTCCATACAATAGCTCATAGGGTGTCTTCTCCATCATGGGGTGACAATAGACTCGGTTGCTATAGTAGCAAGCCGTGTTGATTGCTTCAGCCCAAAATGAATGACTCACATTGTACTCACTCAACATTGATCTTGCCATGTTAATGAGTGTTCTATTCTTCCTTTCAACTAAGCCATTTGGTTGAGGAGTATACTTGGCTGAGAATTGATGTCTAATTCCAAATTCATCACACAACTCATCAATTCTTGTGTTATTGAACTCACTTCTATTATCACTTCTCACTTTCTTGATGGTTGTTTCAAATTCATTGTAAATGCCCTTGACAAAAGATTTGAATGTTGCAAACACATCACTCTTGTCCACTAGAAAGAATACCCATGTGTATCTAGTGAAATCATCCACAATCACAAATCCATATTTGTTTCCACCAATGCTAGTGTATGTGGTTGGTCCAAACAAGTCCATGTGCATCAACTCAAATGCCTTAGATGTGCTCATCATGCTCTTCTTAGGATGTGTGTTACCAACTTGCTTTCCGGCTTGACATGCACTACATAGCTTATCCTTCTCAAATGTGACATCTTTCAAGCCTCTAACTAAGTCATGCTTAATCAACTTGTTCAATTGTTTCATTCCAACATTGTAACAAACCGGGTTTTTGGAGAAGCCAAAAATACGAACGTTTTAAAATTTTTCCTGCAATATGTGAAGCATGTAGATGCTAGGTCAAATAAAGAACAATTTATAAATAAATTGTTGCATGCATATAGAATTACTTGTAGGAGTTTGCCGGAGTTCTTTTGTTGGTTCAGTGTTTTGTGTTGGTGAGCACAAGTCCGTAGTAAATCCTTTTGACTCCTTCTAGTATCTCTCATGAATCATTTGACCTAATTTCTATAATCAACAACTATCTTCATCAACTCAATGCCCGTGAGTTGCCAACCCTTGACATGGACCCCACTACCCCTAGTTGACCTCTAGCGGACCCCACTAGGAGGTGTACAAGTTGACGACACATGTATACCATATAGGAACCATGGAAGGAAATAGGTTGGAAATAGAAACGGAAAAGGACAGGAAATAAGAGAATGATATAGAAAAGCCATTCGGCCCAAGACGAAGCACCAGCCCAACCAGGCCATCCCCTCCCTCTTTATCTACTGCACGGCCCGCTCACCCCTCCTCTTGGCCCAACCGGCGCAGCAGCCCAGCCTGGCCCAGCTCCTCCCCTTCGGCCCGTTCACGCGCGCACGGCCAAACAGGCCCAGCTGCCCCCAGCAAGCCGCAGAAGCCCAACCAAGCCCCCCTCTCCTTACCCCACCGGCCCGTCTCGCACCCCACAGGTCCAGCTCGCAAGCCGCGCGGCCTACCGGTGCCTTGGCCCAGCCTTGCCTCCAGGCGCCCCTTGCCAACCCTAGACAAGAGCAGACGCTCCCAGGCGCCGCCGCCGCTCAGCGCCCCTGCACCCGCGTCCCGACCGCGCCCCTTGGCTCTGGTGCCCGCGATTCACGCCCTTAAATAGCCGTCCACGCCCTTAAATAGCGCCACAACCGTCACCCTCGACCACTCCCTGTAGCCGCCGCCGCCCTGCCTGCCTCTGCCTCCGTCGCCTGCGCGCCGCCCGAGCTAGCACCGAGGAACGGTGTCGCCAACGCCGAGCTGAAGTCCGCAGCGCCTCGCCACGCCGGCAGCCACGACCACCTCGCCCCGAGCCCGCAGAATCGCCGGTGCCAGGCCAAGTCGCTCCATCGTCCTCTGCTCCAGGGCAGTCTGCGCTCGCGAGCCCCTACACGCCGTGCTGCTCGCGACACCAGAGACCGCGCCCCAGCGGCCACGAAAGTCACGCCGTCCTCGCCACGACGCATCCCCACCACCTCCTTCCGTCGTGCCACGCCACTGCACCACGGCAGCGCCGCCTTCCAGCTCTGCATCGCGACCAAGCCACCGGTAGGAGCCCATCTCTGCCTCGCCGGAGCCGCGTCTTCGCCGCCGGAGCAGGAAGGAGATCGCCGAGGGAGCTACTGCCACCGGATTGCGTCCTCACGCCATACGACTACTTCGCCTACACCGCAGCCTCGCCGTCACGCTACGCTACGCCGGGCCCTGCATCACCTGCTACGCAGGGTGAGTCACCACCGCGCCACCAGTAGCCTCGCCACCGCGAGCCCCTCCTCTGCGCCAAGCAGCAACCCCGCTAAAATGTTCAAGACAAACCTAGTAATTAGGTGGAGCGCGTGTTGCAATGGTACGATAAAACAATTGTGACGCAATCGTGAACGGATAAGAATTTCTATATATTTTGACTATTGTGTTATTAACTAGAAAAGAAACAAAATAACATACAATTTAATATAAGTAATTTTTTAGTAAGAACCTAAGAGGTAGTATTAAACGATAACTAATGCTTATGTCTTATAAAAAAGCACGTGTTGATGGATTATAGTGAAATTGATAGGCCACGCGGATGCCAGCGGGGTTCCTTTTACTTTTACAGCCTTGTTTAGATTGGAACTTTTTTCAACCTGATGAATAGTATTATTTTTGTCTTATTTGGTAAATAGTGTCTAATCGTGGATCAACTAGGCTCAAAAGATTCATCTCGTGATTTCCAACTAAACTGTGTAATTAGTTATTTTTTTTACCTACATTTAATACTCTATACAAGCGGCTAAAAATTGATGTGATGGAAAGAGAGTGAAAAAACTTGTAACCTAAACAAGGCCTACGTTACGAACCGGTCCTCGTTCCGTTCACTGTTCTGACCGTTGAAGTGTCCCATTGGCTGATGTCACTGCACCGGTAGACACCTTGGCAGGAGATACTATACACTAGTAGTACTTGTCCGGTTTCCTTATTTACTAGTACTACTTGAAGCATATTTGTTGGTTGGTGTTAGTGTTGGTTTGGATTGATTGGTGCTGGTTTTTTTGAGAGAAAATACTATTAACTGATTAATTTAGACTCGCTGAAACCAGCAAGCGAATAGGCTCCTAGTAAACACGACAAGTCAATTTTCCTCCTTCTCGGTTGTTGGCAGGTGAGAACTGAAGATTCATCAATGTTTCCACGCACGTAGTTGCCGCTAGTCCAAAGCCTTAGAGACGAAGTCATTTGTAAATCGTTGCTCGCAAACGCGGGCGCGACGCTTCGACTCGACAGTGACACTCGAGGACTTTGACGAGGCGTAGCTACTCGCTTGCGTGGGGGGATGGACTCTATAAAAACTACCGCAACTGCTCTCTTGCATTCCTACTTTCGTGCTACGTACGTACGTGGATAGGCGGAGTTCAGCTAGAGCAGCAAGTTAGTAACGACGGCGGCGGAGCGCTGCGTGTGCGGCTGCGGCAATGGCAATGGGCGTCATCGGCGGCGGGAGGACGGAGGCGATCATGCGCGAGATCGCGAGCCTGCGCGCCCAGCGGGACGAGCTGGACAGCCGCATCCGCTTCTTGGAGTCCCAGCTCCGCGTCGGCGCCGCGCCGACCACGCTTCCTCCCAGCCTGCACGCCGCCGCCCGAGGGGGCGGCGGCCTGAGCCCCGACATGGTTAGACGGTACAGCCACCAGCTCCTCCTCCCCGACTTCGGCGTGCAAGGTTGGTACCTGTAATTTACCTCTTGCTTGCTCTTTCCCTGATCGATCATGATCAACGCGTGAAGTTTGCTATCTGCGTGAAATGGATTGTGTTCTTTTTTTTCTCCACAAATTAAATGAAAGGCATGGATGGGCAGGGCAACGGAGACTCTCTCGGTCATCAGTTCTGGTGGTCGGAGCCGGAGGCTTGGGATCGGCCGTAGCATTGTACCTGGCTGCCTGTGGCGTTGGTAACTAATAAATCCACGCATTGTAAATTTCAATTTTTTTAAAGTTATAATTCCGTTTTACTACTAGTACGTAAATGTTCCCTGATACTAGCAGTAGCTCAGTTTTTCTGACTTTTTTTTTTGCTATTGCTAATTTGATCTTTATCTATTTATTAGGTTCTCTAGGCATTGTTGATGGAGACGACGTTGAACTTGGCAACCTCCATCGTCAGGTAACTGTGTGAAATGCACTATACTTCGTCTATGCTGTAGTTGTCATGTACGTTACCTCCACCGGTACATTACCGCCTATGGTGGGCACGTATCGCGTGGACTACTAAATTCAGACTAAGTCAACAAGACAATAAATTGTTTGACAATTCCCACCACTGTTTTCTTATATAAGCAAAAATAATAAGTGCCACACTTTTTTTTTCCTTCTGCTTAGATTATTTGTCTGTTTGCCTTCCTTTTCAGGTCGTACACGCAGAAGCTTATGTTGGGCAACCTAAGGTGAAATCTGCAGCAGCTGCTTGCCGGGCGTAAGTATACTAGTATTCTGCTGACTTCCTGAGAGTTTATCATGCAAGCTATCTTTCATTCGTTGTAGTATATCTCAGACCTATCTTGTATATGTGATCAATGACTCGGTTTTTTTTCTCTAAATTAGGATTAACTCCTCTATCAACGTGTTGGAACATCATCTCAAACTGAAACCAAAAAATGCTTTGGATGTTGTGAGGCAGTATCCTTGAGAATGTGAAAGAAGAATTTAGTTTTTTTCCTTCATGGTTATTACTGTAAGCCTGTTTTCGATACTAAATGATCGCAGATATGACATAGTCGTTGATGCAACAAACAGCCTTGCTAGTCGGTACATGCTAAGTGATTGTTGTGTCCTTCTCAACAAGGTAACTAATAGTATATTGTACTTTTGTTGGCAACAAGACATATGCTCCTTATCTTAAATGAATTAAAATCCACCTTCCCACCAACCAAAACTTGACAATTTACAATTTGGCGAAGTTCATATGTCCCGTTTGTTAATTTTAGGTATACTAAACAACCGAATCTTTATCGATGCTAATCTTTTCTCAAAGTAGTTTTTCACCTGTTGTGTGCTGATTTATTGCCACCTACTCTTCAGCCTCTCATATCCGGTTCAACAACTGGTCTAGAAGGACAGGTAATTCTTGTTTTATCAAAATGGCTTACATTTAACCTTAAGAAGTTAATGTTCACTTTGTGACACTCTTTAAACTTTTAACAGTTGACAGTTTATAAACATAATGGAAGTCCATGTTACCGGTGTCATTTTCCAAACCCAACAGCATGCCAGAGTGGTTCTGCTAATTGTACTCTTGGGGTTGGTAAGTTATAAAATTCTCTGCAGTGCCCAATTAATTCCAAGATCTTACTAATCCAAACCAAATTGAGTGACAAATTCATTAGGAAATTATTTAAAGACTACAATTTAGGTGTTTCAATAGTTTGGCAAGTATCCATGCATATTGAACTGCACTGTACCCTGTTAGTGGATCTGTTATGATTATTTTTGTTCTAGATATAGCACACATATATTGTTGAGAGTTGCTTTAAGATGCTGGTGTGTGGAATACATGCATGCATCCCTTTCAATGATATGCATTGAGTACATTTATATGATCACAGTTATTATTCGATAATTTCCCTATGCATGATCTAATAATTGCCCTTGTATTGTTCAGTTCCAGGAGTGATTGGCTGCCTACAAGCTCTTGAAACTATAAAGGTTGCAACTCGTGTTGGTGAACCCCTTTGTGGAAGAATGCTACACTTTGATGCATTATCCTCCAGTTTTAAGACTGTATGTCACTACATTCTGTGCATATACAGTTAATAAATCATGTCTCCATCCTAATTTAGCATGAACTACGACAATTGCTTTTTGAGTCCTAAAGCTCATGCACTGTTCTACATTGTTCTGCAGGTTAATAAGATTCATCAAAGGTCGTCAACTTGCACAGTTTGTGGAGATAATTCTAATTTGACTCAAGACGCTTTTGTTATGTTTGATTATGATAGCTTCGCACAGTCTACAAAGTCTAGCAAGGTAAACTACATTTTGTTTGTAATGGCCAGTTTCATTTAAGGGTAAGCAACAATACCAAGAAAACATAAAAAATTTTGAAAGAAGAAAAAAAGAAAACATAAAATTTATACCTTAGAAATTCCACAATCTATGTATCGTCACCGGTATCTGTTACACACACGTCGCCGCGCCCTGGGCCGTCGCAAGGAAAACTATACCCGAAATCCTTTTTATCAGGCATTAATTTGGAACCCCGTGCATCTAAAGCACCCTTTACTAAAATCAATGTAGTTGTATGCAAACCATATATAATATTTCTCATGATCCGGCTAATTAATGTCACTAGCTAAAATGACGTATATCCAGCATTATTGTGGATGGAGCCACTCTCAGATACAGTTGACAAATTTGTGACCTGACATGCATGTAAACTACTACAATGCAGCCGACGGCAATCCAGAACCCGCTCCCAAAGAACGCCCGGATCACCTGCAGAGAATACAAGCGGGTGCTCGACAGCGGCAGGGCTCACCTGCTGCTGGACGTGCGGCCGGTGCACCACTTCCAGATCGCCTCCATCGCCAACTCCGTGAACATCCCGCTACACGAGCTCCAGGAGAGGCTTCCCCGGCTCAGGGACGCCCTGAGCGAGGTGGCGGACGTGTCGCACGGCAATCACCGCCCCCTGTACTTCGTCTGCCAGAGCGGCGATGACTCCGTGGCGGCCGTCGGCATCCTCCGGGAGAACGGGTTCCCTTACGCCAGTGCTATAGCCGGCGGCCTTGAGTGCTGGGCGCGAGAAGTTGATCCCGGTTTCCCTGTGTACTGGTGATTAATTACTACCATAGACTGACTGGGCAGATGTAGGATAGTGTGTGGATATCAGGGATGAAAACTGACAAGCTGTATAATATCTGTGTAGCTTTCGGTTTGGTTGTTACTTGTTAGTCTCGCTACCGTGTGCGTCTGCCGCTCGCAATCGTCTTGCGGTAGCAGGACTAACAACGGCATGTAAAACTAATCATTTCGTCTTAATGAAATACGGGTATGACCTTTCGCGAAAAAAGGGGCTTGTTTAGAAACATAGCAATCCTCTTCAATCCGTATATATTGCCATATTGGGAAGGATTTAGGTGAAAAATTAGTTCAATATTCACTCCACTCCACTCCATATACATTGGGAGGGATTGAGTTGAGGTTATCCAAACAATAATGACCCAGGCTTTCTTTCCACGGTTCATCTGTTGCTTGCTTTGCTGCGTTTGCGCAGTTATTTTTCCCAGCCCGGGAAAGAGATCCCCAGCCTTTCCTGCTCGAGGTTACTCATGCTTTCAGAAAGAAAAGACGAAACTGGAGTTACAGAGTATATACCAAAACCGATTCCATTTCTGTCTCCCCAGGAAAATTGGAAAAAAAATTGGGTACGAGACGGCAGACTCGCAACTGAAGATCCACGTGCCCAATTTTTCCCGGAAAAGTAGAAGCTGGCCTCCAGTTCTGGTCCGAATGACAGTGCTGGGTTTTTTTTTTCTTTTTATTTACATTTGGGCCTACTGCCCTCATTTTTTCAGGAAATTGGGCCTACCATCCTTTGGCCCATAAGCGGTGGCAAGAGAGTAGTGCGTGAACAGCCTGGCAAAATCAGAAGTAGCATGAACACCAGTTGACACAGGCACACAGCGACCCTTTTATGTGCTCCTGAAGTGTTCAATATACAATTATACATTTCCATACCTATAACTGGGCCCGGCCGGTCCAAAGAGCTCATCTGTCTGTAGGTTCTGTACTCATCTAGTTTTGACTTCTGATTGCTAGTTGATTTAATTTGATTTGGGCTCCAGCCAGCAGAGACAGTAGCACGACCAAGCATGTGAGGACCCTGTCTCCTGCGAATCATTGTGCTAGCCAATCTCGCAAAAGCCGGGCCGCGGCGGGGACGTGTGTATGGTAGTAGTAACACACGGCACGGGCTAATAACAATATTTATACTATCCGGTTTTTGGTCCAGAAGTTACGGTGGGCGTGGCGGCCAAAGCCCTGGCATTCGCGATTCGATTCATCGTCCCTGGGTGCCTGAATCCACGTATGTTTGTCCAGGTTTGCATGTCTACAAAGCCTGGAAAAAGCTATCTGCCTACCTGCTGTGTGGGTTAAGTTGGCGACGCACGGCGCGATGGAGTGGAAGCTGACGATATCCCGACCAAGAAACCTGCCGCGCCAGCGCGCATTGTTTTGTTTCAGTGCAGAATATTCATGCACGTTGGGGACAAACTCCTATACTATGTTAGAATGGTCGTCCTTGCCCATATTTCCGTGCTGTGGGGTAGTACTGGACACCGAATAAAGTGGCGAAAATGGAGCGAATTGGAGAGGCGACGTAGACTGCTATCCTAGGAGATGAGCTGAGAGATCGGTACGGTGTCAATGTGACATGCGTGCGCTTATTATGATTTGGATTAGTTATTCCCTGCCGGGTCTTCGTGTACACCCTTCCAACCTACGATTTTATGCCGCGTCTTGATCATGTGGGAGCGACGCAAAGTTAACGAAGTAGTAATCACAAACACCTGTTATCAAGGTTTGTGTTCATGTATAATTTAGCAGTTAGCCTCATTTAGATTCGCTATTTGAGAGGTCATCCGCTAAATGCCTTAGCTGAAGATTTTAAAAAATATATTGCCCTAGGATGAAGGATATAAATATATGCTTTTTTTGGCCCATATAAATATTTTAGTTACCCATTCTAATTAGATCTCAAAGACTTTGACCCTGTTTGGATGGGGACTAAGACTTGTTGTTAGTACGTTCGGACTGGACTAGAACTGGTTGTTATAGTTGGGTAATAGTTAGCTGGCTAAAAATTAGTATTGTGCTGTTTGAATCTGAAGGCTAATGGTAAAGATATTTATGCCCCTTGTCTACTTGCACGCAAAGACTAGGGACGGGTGTTTCTGACTTTTCAAGATTAGTTGCCCCTATTAGTCATCCGATCCATGTCCAATAATTGTTTACCCATCCGATCCAGCCACGGATATTCCTCAGTCAAATCAAACACCTATGAAGCCAGTAGCAAACTCCAGCGTGCTTTAGTTTCTCAGGCCACAGATTATTAAGCAGCTAGATTAAGCTGTGAGTGCACGTCGAATCGAATTAATTAATACAATTAAGCCACCTGCACAGCACGAGACCTATCACAAAGAGTGATTAGAGAGATGGAACATGGCTATCATCCCTGTTAATTAATCTGACTTTTCAAGATTAGTTTCCCCTATTAGTCATCCGATCCATGTCCAATAATTGTTTACCCATCCGATCCAGCCACGGATATTCCTCGGTCAAATATCAAACACCTATGAAGCCAGTAGCAAACTCCAGCGTGCTTTAGTTTCTCAGGCCACAGATTATTAAGCAGCTAGATTAAGCTGTGAGTGCACGTCGAATCGAATTAATTAATACACGACCGTCCAGTCCAGCAAGCTCTCGCCAAACCGATGGACCGCGACCTCTCTGCAGCTGGTGCATCATCGCCAGCCGTCATCATCACCGCCGCGCGCAGGGGCGGATGCAAGTCGACAGACGACAGGGCAAACCACCGTGCCATCCCCTTGCGCCCCACCCTCCCTACACCCGTATCCCACCATATCCAGCCACCCGCTTTCTCCCACCGGTGCAGAACCATCACGCATCAGCTGCTGGAAAGAACAGCCGGCCGCGGGAAAGAACATACACACGCACCTCTCGATCAACAACACTACTGTAGGTGACTAGTTAATAATAATACTCGCTCTGAGCAGTCACGCGGCCGGTACAGAGACAACTACTACAGAGACAAGATTAACGAGGAAACAGTCGTCGTTTGCACGATCGAATAAATGCGCAGAGAGACGACTGTTTTGTTGGCTTACACGTACGGACGGTGAACAGCTAGCTTAGCTAGTATAGCAGCTACTCCTACGTACTAGTGGCTCGATCGACCGACCGATCGGCCGGCTTGGTGGTCATGACTGCTGCGGCCGGACGGCGATCGGGCGGTGGCAGACGACGGCGCCATCGGCGACGGAGGCGCCCGCCTTGCGGTCGGCGGCGACGGCGGCGGAGTTGCCGTTGTTGGACGAGGAGGAGGAGACGCGCTGGCAGGAGGGGCACAGGGTGAGGGTGGTGGGTGGGGACATGTGCATGTAGAGGTGCGGCGAGACGAGCTTGAGCGCGCGGAGCTCCTGCACCTCCTTGTGCAGCCGCCGGTTCTCCTCCGTCAGCGTCTCGCAGCAGCGCTTCAGGTACTCGCAGTCCACCTCCGTCTGCTTCAGCTTCGTCCTGCACGAGGAGGCCAGGAGGGGCAGAAAAGAGGGAAAAGTGTGCATGCTGATCAGAGGTTCATCAGAATACGCAGCATGCTAGCTATAGAGCGGCTAGCTGTGTGTGAAATTAAAGCTGTGCAACGGCGACATATCGCATGTGCGTTTCGTACCTGGCGCGCCTGTTCTGGAACCACACCTCCACCTGGCGGGGCCGCAGGCCCAGCTGCTGCGCCAAGGCTGCCTTCTGCCGCTGCACGCCATTAATCAGCAGCAAGTTAGTACAGCTTACACGCATGCAGGGTAATAGTAAGGTTAACACCGAGATCACGGGGAGGATAGAAGTCATAGAACACAGGACAGAACTGCTGCAGACCTTAAATTCTCAATAGCATGCATGTTACTACTACTTACAGGGTTGAGAGTTGGGTGCTCCCGGAAGCTATCCTCGAGCACGGCCGACTGGTCCTTGGACAGCCGGAGCTTCTTCCTGGAGCCGTCGATGCCGCAGCCGCCGTCCTCCTCGTCGCTGCCGCCTCGCAGGCTCTCCTCGCCCGTGGCCTCGCTTCGCTTCGCGGGGAGCAGCAGTGGCATCTCCAGGAACCTCTTCTCTGATGCATGCATGATCCAGACAGAGTGTAAGCCATACACGGTATTAGATGCTGACGACTAATCCTACATATAGTCAGACAGACATCAACTCACATGTACACTAATAACTACTGTAGCTAGCTTGATATGATCACAGTTAGCTGCTAGCTAGCAGTAGTGTGCCTGCAGGAGCTAAATACTCGCTGGTAGATCGAAGTATAGGTATAGCTACTTACTATAGAGATACAAGTTATATATATACACCAATTTGCATTGTATTTACCTGGTGGAGCGTGTAGCAGCATGGTGGCGACATGGTGAGTGCGAGGAGACGCGAGGGACGAGCTGAGGCTGAGGCTGAGCCCTAAGTCCTCGACCCTCTCCATCATCTATCGACCGTGTACCGCCTCGATCTCTTCCTCAATCTGCTGATATCTCTGCAAGGAGTAGCTAGCCTCTTCTTCTACCTCGCTCTCTACCGATCAGTCTAGCTATGTGTGAGAGCTGTATAGGCGTGTATGTGTATGTGTATGTGTAGAGCTGGAACTATGGAAGAACTGGGGATAGATATATAATAGTACGAGTAGCAGCAGACCAGCAGTAGATAGATGGAGCTGCTGGCTGACAGATGAAGTGATAAAGAAGTGGGGGAGAGCGAGGGTTTTAAAGACATGGGCGGGGGAGCAGGGCGGGAGGAATGTTGGATCTCACTTCACATAGTTTCTGGGACAGCAATCATTAGCTTGTGGGGCGGGCTCCTTAATTGGTGCAATCATAACTTCCCCACCTCCACCTCCTCCTCCGCGCTCCGCTCAAAATTGCTGGCCTAGCTAACTTCAGCTATTCCCCACCCAGCATTAGGATTTTCTTTTTCCACGAAAAGGCGACCATGATATTTCCCCTTTGTTGACGAGCTAGCTGGTGGTGTTTTTGTAATCTGAACACTGGAATAATCCATGGATCGGAGTATATAATGCACATATGCGTGCCTTTATCTTGATCTATGCATGGCTCCTGATGAGCATACTATATATATATATATATATATATATATATGCTGCCCAGCGTGGTGCAAAATAGATTATTTTGCGTCGTCGTCTGCACTGTACTATAAAATACTAGTACGTACGTTCTCTAAAGTTTCAGATTTCGGACCACTTGCGTCTGGTTTGAATTGAAATGCTTAGATTTAAGACATGGAAAGTAGTAGTGTAATACTGTATCTGCTATAGGAAGAAATGTATTTAAGAACGTGTGTCCGCCTAATAATTACCTTTATTCTGCATTAGTTGGACAGCTAGCTAGGTCCCCCTTTGGAATTGTGTAGCAAATTTGGAGTCGCTGTCAATTTTTTTGGTGTACTTTTGATCGAAGTGCTACTTTCCCATGTTTTAACTGCGGTGGACAAATATGGAGGCCCTAGGCTAGTTAGCTATGCCGGGATGTACTATGTGCACATCTCATTACATGAATTGAAGGTAGCAGCTAGTAGCTAGCAGTTGGCTACTTGGTTGCTAAACTTTGGGCCTGCTAGTACTGGTTATACTAGTAGCCTGCAATGATCGCAGCACGTAGGAGCAGTGCATGAAGAAATGATTGGCTTTTCGAGTTGGTACCAACCAAAACGCTAAGGCTGCCCCGGCCCGGCCGGTTCGAGGATGGACGGCATGATTGCAGAGGGCGTGCTCGCATTGGTACGGTACGGTATAGTAGGCCAGCAGTGGCGCCGGCCACACCCCAGCAGCCTCCACGCTTCCACAGACCACAGGACGGCGACGGGAGGTCGACGAGACGAGACGAGGCGAGAGCGAGTTTGTTCAAGTGCCCATTCATGCGACGCGAGAGCCCGGGCGGGGGCGCAGGCGCAGGCGCATGGCCTTTCCCCCACCAGGCCCAAATCATCGTGTCCCGCTTTGCGCCGGCACGCACCTAGCCGGCTAGCCCCACCGCGGCCCCCACGCGGCCCCCGCCGGCGCCTATCTCATCTCCTCACCCATCATCATCCCATCATTGCGTGCCTGCCGCCCATGGCCCATCCATCCTTTTGACATGGCAACGCGCTTGTCTTCCATCTACTCGATCCACATTTATACTTGGAGCTAGCTAGCGGTTCATACGAGTTGCGTACACAATACTCATACTACTTTGTATTCGTTGTCACCTCCATGGCTTGTGCATGTGTGTTTGGGAGACCCTAGTTATTATTAAGTAAACCTCATCTTGCTAAACTACGTCTCAGTTAGATCGATCGAGAGCACTGGCGGAGCTTAGTTAGGACCATAGAGCCACCCTAAGCTAGATCAATTCTTAATGAAGGTTTTAGATTTGCTACTTTAGCTGCTAATGAAATATTAACATGTCCTCTTAATTTACATCATATTGCCCCCCCCCTGCGCTAATGGCCAAGCTCTGCTACTGATCGAGAAGAACATCGTGGTAGGGGTTTTCATCTACACCTGGAATGCAGCACAAAAATCTTGGATTGCAATTTTGGTTCTGATTTTGAATTAGTAGCTAAACTTTGGATTTGTGGTCGAAGTGCTCTTACTAACAATGTTTTGTTCCTTAGTGATCTCATGGAGTATATGGAAATTGTGAGATGCCCTTTTTTTTCAAGGTGATACCTAGCACGATGTGAGGAGGGTGATGAGATTGACAACAAAGATGCTAAGAAGATGGCACCCCTGTAAAAGCAATAAGACTGAGAAAGGCTCGAAGTGGTTGTAAGGCAAATGGAGGAAAAGGCAAGTGAACCACTGAGGATCATGTGGAAAGCAGACTCTGAAGTTACAGGAGGATCAAATGGGATTGGAATTTTGCTGAATTCGGAAGATGCAATAGCGATTGGTAGCCAAGTTTCTTTAGAATCTTTACATTTGGATCATATAGCGATACAAGTTTTTCAAAGACTGAACTTAGGCAATTTATTAAGCAGATGCACCTCGAATACGCTATGCTAAACTGTGACAATATGTGCGCTTTTGTTCCGTAGCAGCCTCTAAAAATAGAGGGCATTTTCTAGAGGTGGCTAGGCTTTCTAGCCACCTAATAAGTCAATTTCTAGAGGCGGGCCAAGTCAAAATCCATATTTGGAGGCTGTTCTTGACAGAGCCTTCTCAGGACTAAAAGGGCAACGCCTCTAAGAAAAGGTTTATGTAGTAGTGCTTGGCAACGGCCTCAGCAGTGGGGCCTCTGTGTTGGGCTTGGTGACACCCTTTTTTTAGATTTACCGAGATAAGCATAGACTTATGTCTCTGTTATCTCTGATTAACAAAGACCTTAAACAGTGAGGCGGTCCACCACTCCACCTCTGAAATCCGTTTTGCCCGTCTCTATTAATGCCTGTAAAAGTCACGCCAAAGTAGACATTCATTAGCAATTGGAAACATGGAACATTGCAATGTTTTTCATTCCAGGAATATTGTTTCGTGAAAATTCACATTCCCGTTCCGGGACACTTACATTCTCATACTACAAAAACATTATAAAGTGTCGATCTATGTTTTTGCTCCTGGTCAATGTTCTCATCCCTTTCAGGAACATGGCTGCTGAGAGATATCCTATGGTAGGTGCCTCCATAGTCCTAACATCGCGCGTCACCACATGACCAAGAGCACTCTGTATATATAGTCATGGGCCATAAAATCACTAAACCTAGCTAACTCTAAACCTTGGTGGAGTTATTTTTATGACTTCACCGGAAGTTAGCAAAGAAGCACAAATCTCGATGGTAATCACGAGGCGGGAAATTCTTCAAATTCACCTAAAAATCCGTCATAAGATATTTAGTAGAATTCTTACTGTTGCTCCACTGTTGCAGCCGGTGCCTTGTGTCTGTGTTCTACCGGTTGGTTGCTATCGGTATCTCGCCATATCGTAATCCCGGACGTTGTATGAATCTTACTTCTCTTTAATGAACCACGTGCCAATGCACACTTTCGAAAAAAAAATCTAGCAGAATTCTTAAAATATACTCGTACTTCAGGAAGATAATTTGATACCTTTGCTAATTGTGGGACCATATTTCAAAGGTTGCTGTCACGTTTTCATAAATATGAGAATGGGTGGCCATTAGTTCCTTTAAGTAGCAAGCTAGCCCTCCCACAGTCTATCCTAGCATGATTGCAATTTTTCTGCACATCTACTGGTCCTCGATCGCACATAATCAACGCCATAATCAAACATTCCACCATCCGTTCACAAGAAAAAAAAATCAAGCTTATCTTTAATGGCAAACTACTAATAACTAATTAAAAGCTCACGATACGGCAGATACAAACCTGTAGCGAGCGCAAAATAAACCCCCCTCTCCTCCTGACAGGAAAGTACGTTCTGAGCCGACAATCCGTCTACCTGTGGTGGAGATTCTCTCGCCCTGCACAAAGCATCGGTCGCTGCTTCAATCATGCGACTGCACTCCGGCGCGCGCGCGTGCACAGCGACGCGGGGGAAAAAGGAGCCAGCCGGACACGAGGGGGCGGTGTGGTCTGTGGAGCCTCGATGGAAGCAGCAGGACAGGAGGGCCGGGGCGGACGACGGGGCCGATCCCGCGGAACCTCGTCACGTGGCCCGGTCCGACACGGGCGCGGGCCGGCAAGTGGGGCGCGCGGCCTTGCTCACCCCCACCGCACCACCCGGCCGTCGGGGGGACGGAGACGGAGACCTCGCGCTCGCGGTCTCGCCCGCGCCAAAGCGAGAAAAAGGAAGAAGAAACGCGGGGGCCCCGCGCGCGCGCGAGAAGCCCAGGTGACGGCGGTCCTACCACCGTGGCTCGGCCACCGCGGGCCCGTCCCTTCCTCCGGACCACCAGAACGACACCACCGCCCCACAAGATATCGTCGCCGCGCCGTACGTCGTCATCTCCGTCTGCGTCCACGGTTGGAAGGCGCGCGCGGCTGACTAGTCTGTGTATGTGTGTGTCGGTATTTCTGCGCCTGTCATCTGAACGTGCCGGCCGGCCGGATGAGGCCGCATTTCGCCTGCTCGATCGAGCCAGACCGGGGGTGGATTCTTTCGGAATGCCGAAAGCAACCGCCGAGGGGCCCAAAGTTCCAGGATGCGAAACCCCGGCCCTAGCTGGCGATGTATTGGGCTTTCAGTCACGTCAGCACGTTTAGGCATCCGGTACCAACCTTTGAACCTGGATTGAGATCGACGGTTCCAAACAGGATGAGAAGCTAGGCTACCTTTTCATCAAGGAAGACAACGACTGCGGCGGACGCGCGTTACCGACAGGCCGGATTGTACAGGAGCAGATCGAGCGAGCGTATCTCCGTCGCTCATCCGATCCTTGTCAGTAAAGGAGAAAACGGATATCAAGTTCCGATCTTGTTCTGATGGCCGGAATGTGGACAGGGCTGGTTGACCTCTAACTAGCTAGGCGCCCCCGGCAAGCAAAGCGCCTGGCAGGCACATCGAGCATTGGCACTTGGGCCCGAAAGTAACAAGGGAAGCTCCATCGATGGCGAAAAGTTACCGTGCATGCCCCCAGACACGCGTGACGGAGACAAAGGTAAATGCGCGCGCTGTGTCCGCAGGGCGTGTCACGCGTGTGTGTGTGTTTTTACCGCCCGCACATCCATCCAGGTTCAGTGGCGTAGAAGCGAAGACGACGGCGCGCGCATGGCACATCCAGGGTGATAAAACGCCGGGATTGCCGTATGATGTGTCGTCGTCGCATCATTCATGCACTGGAAACCGCCTGAACCCCGCTTCCGCTTGCAGAGGGTCGGGGTCGCGCATGCAGCAGAGGCAGGCAGAGCCCTTATTGGCAAGCAGCCATGCTGAAATAAACACCTGCGGCTGCGGGGATCAAGATCATGCTCGCGTGCATGCATGCCAGTACGCCACCGTGCCCCCCGTCACCGTCAGAATCATGGCCACCGCGCGCAGGCCATTCAGGCGGAGCCATGTGTGTAGATGGCCAGCGCCAGCAGCCAGCTCCACCTGATGACTACACAACGAGTAAGTGAATGCTGTAACTTTTGCACTCAAGAACGCACTGAAGTCTCAGCTGAGCTGACAGTGAAGGCTTTTATCAGTTATCACTCGGGGCCGGCCGGCGACCGGCCGATCGATCGAGAGCCATTGGATCCGAAAGCTGGGTACGTGGAGTAGCTTGATTTGCAAGGAACACGATGATATGGATTATGGACCAAAGATGACGACTAGCTGCGCTGCAGCAGGCAGCTATAGTAGGTAGCAACTGTCTCACCATAAGTGCATCAGGCAACGCTAATCTGAAACGGGTGGAGAGGAAGGCGAGAGCCCTGTCGGCCTGACACTTGCGCTTGTATCAGCCACCGCCACCGGGTTGCCGCGCAGCTCTCCTGTGTTGCGTGCCATCATGCACGCTTCCTCATCATGGCGCTGGCCTCATCGATCGGTTGACCACGCTCGATCGCACGCCGGCCGGGCCGCCCGTCTCCCGCGCGCTGGGCGCTCGCGCTCGGATTGCCCTGTGCTGCTGTGCAGGTGATGTCTGGTGCTCGCTCGCTCGGTGGTCACCTCATGAAATCTGATGAGCCGTGGAAAGCTAAATTAAAGGGGCGCAGAAGTTTCATTAGCATGATGCTGTTGGAGCCTGCTGCCTGCCGCCCTGCCTATGCAGAGCTAGCTCCCCTGAGGGCTGAGGCCTGAGGGAGTGATCATGGCCGCGTTTCTCAGAGAGCTTATCATGGCCGCGTTGAACGAAGGGATGTGCGGCATTACGTTGTCCCAGTCACTCCCCGACATGGTTGGCAGTGGCAGACGAGCTCTTGACGTGCATTGCGTAAGCGTGTTGCGGTAGTATTTTGTGCACTGTGCAGGCAGCCGTGCGGTTGGGTGGCTGGGCCGAGCCCGAGATGCAGCAGAGTCATGGGCCTCTGACGTGTGGCAAACGCCGACTCATTGTAGGCCTCACGGCCCATATATTAGTATAGCACACGTGCATTGACTGACCACAGGAAGCCTTACCATGGACTGTTCGGCCCAACCCAACCGAAGTAGCTTCTCCAAAGGCCTAAATTTGCCCCCGAGTGTCGGCCTTCCTTGTGACGAAAGCCCACTAAAAAAAAGAAATACAAAGAGAGCAGTCTTTTATTCGGCCTCAGAACTTGATTGACTGATCCTACAAAAACAAAATGATTGACTTCGTTCCTTGGTCCTGAAAAAACATTTTATTTTCCTTTTATACCAAACATTTTCTTGTCTATTATTTGACATCAGATTTATTTTGAACCCAATTTGGCCCTAACGTTTGCTTTTGATTTTAATGTAATGGTGATAAATGACATGTGAAATGACCGTCTTATCCCTGTTGGCTTCTGAAATCCCGTGAAGCACTCTTACTTTTAAGAATATTTTATGTCCTATTTCTTATGCCGAGTGTTGATCTATGAAGTTTGAGATAAATTGACGGTTTCGTTTCCTATGTATTCACAGTCACATTTTATGATATAATAACAAGTAAACTGGGATTTAAATTTTATCTGGTCAACCCGATCCAACATATCAATACACTAGATGTAAATTAGGGAGAGAAAAATGATACCGTCATTTCAAGCACCAAAATATCAATCCAGTGGCATGTAAAGTAAGGCAACATATTCACAAAGTACATGGACGATGGATCAAACATCATAGTTCAACTCGCCCCTTCAAAATTCAGATTAACTACTCGCTCAATGCCAGGAAGGATGCCATCCTGCCCACTGCCCACTGCCCACGCAGCGTTCTCTCTCCCACTGCGATCCGCTCTAAGAACCTGCATTTAACAAAACTTGGCATTACTTGGCATCCTTGTATCTGCAATTCTGCATATATGTCACCTGATTCTCCAAACAGGTGCTGCATGAAGTAGAGAGGTTTTACTCTCTTCCCACGGAACAACTGACATCAAAGCTTGTCCTCTCTCACGGTTGATGGCTTAGCAGCCTCTCCCTATTGATGAAGGACACCATGAGCTTCTTGTTCTCCTCCTTGGCAACTGAAAATGCAGACAGGGTCAGGGATCCTGCATAAAGACCAATAGTGATTAAACATCAAAAGAAAAATAAGTTACCTTGAGTACCGATTTCGATGTCAATTTGTATATCCACTTATAACTTGCAATATTAATAATTTAATATATTTAAGACCCAATATTTATTCAGCTTTCACATGAAAGGAAAACTCTAGAACACATACAAACAACTGTTTGGAGCAATAGATGTACTGCATCAAATTTAAGTTCAGAAATACTACTACACTGATGGAATCAAAAGAAAGTATCATGGTTACAAATTGATCTGGCCAACAGAAACAATAAGCATCTTTGAAACATGAGATATCTCCAGACTAGAAAAAAAGGCAATCTGAAAACAGAAGGAAGATATGGTCCTAATTGGTACGTCAAAGATTTCATTCAGAAAAATAAGAGTTGCATCATGCAGTACCTTTTCTGAATGATGCAACTTGTTTTCTGAATGTCGACGGAGGGGACGGAGGGACATAATCCGATGTCGTTTCACCCGCACGCTTGGATGCTCCTCTTCGGGTTTCGCTGCGTCGAGATATTTTTTGAATTTCCATCTCAGCAGACGCTGACAGCGTAACAGAACGGCCGGTTCTGGCGTTCGGCCGACGCGGGGAGCGGGCTGCGTGTGATTGCTGCCACCTGCCAGCAAAGCGTGCTCTGTTTGTGATTGCCGCACCGGAGTACAGGACGAACGACCAGATCGGAATCGGGTGGAGGGCCGATCTCCGATCTCCTCCCCGAGGTCGACCGCGCAGCCACCGTACTGCTTCTGTAGCCTGTACGTACTACGCAAAACACATGTGGTCCCTCCCGGATAAGGCGCCTCTGTCGCCGGGTTGCAACGGCAAATTCAGCCCTGTTTAGCGTCAGTGCCAGGAAACCTTTGTGCACTGAGAGTGAGAGGGAAGCTAAAGCTACAACAGAGCTCCCTGAATCATGGCCATGGCCATGCACATGCGTTGTGAATGAAGTTCAGGTATGTTTCTGAATGGAGCCCAGCAAAATAAAAGTGGAATCAATGTCTGAATGACATGTTTACAGGACTGCAGGTATCTACATTTTCTTACATTACATACAGGACCAACATTGCCCAATAACACCAAAAAAAAAACTGACAGGATCGGAGTACATCCATCCATACCCAGACTGAGAGACTGCAGAGAATATGAACTCGGCGACGTACCAACCGGATCGAAGAAGCTGCCACCTCCTAGGTAAAACTGAGGTCTCCCTCTCTCTCCCCACCTCACCTCACCTAACCTCACCCCGTACGCACCTCCATTGCAGCTTGCAGGGTTGAACTCGAACCTCGATCGCCTCCGCAGACCGCAACAGAGCACCCGCGCACCCGCGCTTGAATTCCCACCCACCTCACATCATGACGCTCATGGTGTGCAGGCCGCCGACGCGGCCCCACGCCCACGAGTCCATGAGCGGCGGCGGCGGGCGCGGCCGCATGATGCACTCCTCCAGCTCCTGCAGCCTGGCCACCAGCACCACCAGCCGCCGGCACGGCACGAACACGAGCGTCACCGGGATAATCCAGATCGCCAGGTCCAGGATCAGCATCGTCGTCGTCGGGTTTGATTCTTCCGCTGCAGGCAGGCAGGCTTCTTCGCCTCTTCGGGATTCACTCCGACCTCCGACTCTCCGAGCTCCTCTGGGCCCTGCTGCCTAACCTTCCTGACCTCCACTGCACCACAGCGACAAGGGATGACCGGCCGGCGGCTTGCTTCACTTATTGGACAAGTGTTGCTTTGCCTTGTAGTTGTAGCCGGAGAGTTGCTTGCGAGGATATATAACCGGCCTTGGATGCTAGCTCCTCAGTGAAACAAGCTCTTCATTATACGAGCGTTGGATGCTTTATTTGTCAAATCAAGGTTATTATTCATACGGCGACTAATTTAGTGTCTCCTCTAATCGAATCAACCGTGCTCGGCCCATGTTAGACAACGGGGCATGTAGTACTGTACTGTCGAGGGGATGGGGTTGTATTGTATCTGCAGTGCAGGCCCACTTGACGTGACGGCATCGTTGTCGTTGGAGGGTTTCATTTCATCACAATCGTCGTACGTGGTGCAATGATTTGGGCATAACTTATCTCCTTATCGGTATATTTTCTTTTCTTTTCTTTTCTTTGTCGTTTTGGATGAATGTGTATTTGCTATTGCGTGCACCGCCTCACTCTCTCCGTCCAAAAAATTACCATCTTGTCCCGGGTCCGGAAACAAAAGATAAGATGCTTCCTACATAATAATAGAGTACTGGTTGTCCCGGATCGGGAAACAACGAGAAACCATTTGCCAACCATTCCGCCGTCTACGGTTTACCCACTAAACCATGGACAGCGCAATAACCCTCACTGACCGCCACCGCCCAGCGGCGATAGATTCCTGGATCTAGAAGGCTAGAACCATTTGTTTCCAGATTCTGGAAATTTTATTTTACTCCAGTAGCCGAGTTCGTTAAATGCCACCAGTCAAACTTTTCACACACACAAAACTACTAGGAATCTGTAGACTGTAATACACGCAAATGGCTCTTCGGGAACTTGGGGGCCATCATAGGAGCGGCGGAGCTCAAACGTTGACAGAAGCCAGTAGCGCAAGACGTGACAAAACAGCATTCTTTGGATATTTATTTCAAAAAAAAAATGTGTGGATAACGCACATTCATGTCGTGCTAACGTGGTTTCAAAAAAAAAAATGTGTGGATAAGTACAAGAAAAGAAAAGAAAACGAAAGGTGAAACTGCTATAATTGTCGACAATGGGCATCGTGGACCACAACAAATACTAATTGCCGAAAAAAGAAACATTTATGCGGCCTGATAGGCCGTTAGGCAAGACGTGCAATTGGCTTATCCTTTCGTAGACGATAAAAGAATAAATAAAACTATTGACCAAAGGTATACTGCTAGAGTCTATTTCATAAAGAAACAACACGAAATATTAGTATCCTTATGTTAATATAAACCAACTCGGACGACAAAGAAACCAAAGAAACTGTAAAACGTTTAAGCGGCCTGATAGGCAGTTACCCTCTCCTTCTCTCTGCTCACCGCCGCCGCAACATCCCACCACTAATCAGAGCTACTTCCACCAGTAGCTGGTGAGCGAGTGAGACTCTTTCGAAGATCCACCGCGCCTCCGAGCTACTCCCACTACGGCAAAGCCTGCTGCTGATCCCGGTCCCATCGATCCAGAACAAGCAGCAAATTGAGCTTTGAGAGAGAAGAAACACCCCTCAACTGAAGAACGTGCACTCTTAGGCAAGACGTGCAATTGGCTTATCCTTTCGTAGATGATAAAATAATAAATAAAACTATTGACCAAAGTGTGTACTGCTAGAGTCTATTCATAAAGAATTAACACAAAATATTAGTATCCTTTTGTTAATATAAACCAACTCTGACGACAAACAAACCAAAGAAACTGTATGCAAAAACAAAAGCGAAGCAGCAAGCAGAGATCCCCCCCAGCTTCAGGAATCTTGAGAGCTGGAGCACCATAGTCCTCTTAAGCAGGGGAACCACTAATGTCTAAAATGGTCTGTGCAGCTTCAACTTTTATTAAATTATTACAACAACTACGATATTATTATAAACATAATAGTTGGTTTCTACGAAGTTGACTATGTGCAAGTCTAAAATCAACTCTGAAACAGGGCAGATCCAATGGACGAGGTTTGGAAGACATTCAACACTTTTTATAGAAGAAAAAAAAAAAAGGTCAAATTGGTAGGTTATAGTACTACTAGTTTCAAAATAACCAGCTTTAAGAAAACATTGGAATAATCCGCACAGGACATTTTTAAGACATCAACAGGGGCAGTTGTGAAAAAATAATGTTCATCACCACGAGTAAATATTCTACCTGCTGATAAAGCTTGTTTCGTGTGAATTGCCATTGCTAAGGATATACTGTAATGACCTTCACATCCTGCATGCTGGAATTCCGTACAGAGTATTGGAATGTCCATCCATGGCATGCCCCGGCGTGCACTCCTTCCTTGTTGACTGCAAATACAGCACCGATGAAATCCGGATATTTGCGGGCAATTCTCGATATAGCATCTTTGGCAGCGTCTCGAGGATCCATCCCTTGTCGCATGCTCTCTACCACTTGATAGCTGCAACAGAATTTATAATAAGATTGGCATGAAGTGCATGAGAGTCAATAAAGTTGGGATAGAGAACACGGTTAGCATAAGCTGTTACCAGCATTAGTGTTTACTATTGCATATGCAGGGACTGTTTTAAAGTTGAATGCCCAAAGATGATTGCAATGCATACCATCATGATTAGGATGCTACACTTGAAAAAACATGAGGGAAAAAGAACATCATAATAACCAGAGCACAACTCTGTCATCTCTCTTTCTTTCAAAGAAAATAGCAGCTTGCAGCAACTAATCCGGTTCTAATTGAGAAGCTAGACATCACACTGAGTGATCTTTTTTCACATGTCATTTTTAACAAAATCACAAATTATGTTTTCATTACCATGGAAGGAAGCGCATCATAATATCACCGTCACCAGTTGCTCCACAAGCCCCAACTTCATCATCACCATATGAAGAAGATCCTGGTATTGGGCCATCGCCTACCCTGGAATCAAATGATTGGTCAGTAGTCAGTACTAGCTACTCCCTCCATCCAAATTATAAGACGTTTTGGCTTTTCTAGATACATTACTTTTACTATGTATCTAGACATAGTGTGTATCTAAGTGCATAGCAAAAGCTACGTATCTAGAAAAGTCAAAATGTCTTATAATTTGGAATGGAGGGAGTCTAAAGAGAAAAATTGAGAATTCTTCACCAAATTTGTTCAATTGTCAAAAATAGAGGATTTTTTAACTCAATTGGCCTCTCACAGAAAGATGAATTCATTAGGTTTTATTTTTCTATGGGTTATATGGTTACAAAAATGAATAAGCAGGTACCATGCCAAGCAAGGAGTCGCAGTTCAATGGGCAACATTTAGGTTTCTAGGGGAATAATGGATGACATTGGCACTGACTTATAGAAAGGAGGTCTAGTCTGACATGTTTCACCATATAGCAAAAATGGTTTAAGCACATGTAACAAAAATGCAAAATGCATAACACGGTTGGTACATAGAAAAAGAATACAGCTGGTGGATTTACATCATTATCCAACACAGAGAGATTCAAATATATAATACCACTTAACAAGACAAGAGGATCTGACTGATTCATACAGTGACTAGATACCACACTAAAAAAACATAGGAAAGATGCATGAAATGGTAAGGTACAAACGAATTAGATACACAAAAAGGTGGTGAATAAAATGCCAGAGTTACAGGGAAAAAACACACACTTAGCTAAGACAGGTCCTGGCTAAACAGTTTGAGTGAAACCGGGCCCAAACAGCTGGCCATAATTTTAACTAGCCATCAACAGCAACTAGTATATTTAGTGTCCATGATTAGTTAAAATTATGATAAGCCGGTTGGGATGTGATGTGAAGTCAACCAACAGTAGTCAAAATGCTCACCTTCCTGGAATTTTAAATGTAGCACCATTGGTTGATGTCCCAACTGCTATATGGCCCATCTAATGGAAAATAACAAAGATATTAGTTTCACAATAACAGAAAGAGTCAACTAATGTCGAATGTTATAACTACCTTGTCAATCACGGCCATAGAGATTGTGTCATGGTTGTGGCGATTAACAATCTTCAAATGAGATTTTATTGGCTCCAGAAAATTATCACTTTCATAATACCCCTGGCAGAGACCACCTTGACTCCCCTCTACCCCATTCTTTACAGAGTCCTCAACTTCAACTGAGGATAGATTGATAGGATGGTATGGACCACACTTACCGACAGGAACAACATTTTTCCAGAAGTTTGGTTGGCAGTAGTTCTGTCTCCACTTTTCCCATTTCTCAATTGACGCTGATGAACTGAGGTTAGTTGGTCCTGGAAGACCCATTGAAATTGCAAATGCTGTTGCTTTCTCTCCAACAAGCAGAGTATGCTCGCTGTGCTCCAAGACCAACTTTGCTGCCTTGATTCCATCCTTCACATATCTCATGGCTGCCACAGCTCCAATTTCCATTGTTGCCTGACAGTTTCCTTAAGCGAAAATAATGCAATATGCATCCACTATGAATGATGGAACAAAATAAAATATAAAATATCAATCTGAACTGCAGCATGAGTATGTAAAGCAGATGTTACCCCATTCATGACAAGAGCATCTAAGGTAGTTTCACCGTTCTCATCTGGACTTCCACCTGGACCAACTGCATGACATGTAAAATAACTAAAATTATAACCAGGTTGATATATTCAAGATGCATGCTAAAAATAGGCAAGTTGTTCAAATTAATAAGTAAAAAACAAGAAGCAGGGCTGCTTGACCATAACTGTCCATAAATGGATTAGGAGTTAAAACACTGTGAACCACATGTAATAGCAGTTGCAATTCGTGTTATCCTCACACAGCACTGCTAACCATTTAAGGATTTTTTGTGCATTGATTGTTTTACATTTGTAACTGCATAAGAGAAAAATAATTTAGGCAATGTAAAACCACAAAGATTAACACCTCAGACTTACCATTATTTTGTTTCACAACTCGATGTAAAGCAACGTGTTAAGAATTATGCAGGCACGCATATCACTAGAATCTTTTAGTATTGCCAACATAATAAGGCCACATAACTGGAAAAGGTCCATTTAAGCTCTGCAACCATTGTTTATCCATTTACTTCATCAAATGAATGGACAAAATTGGGTTCAATGTACCACTAGGGGAACTCAAAAGGGACCAATGGTATATGAGAAATATTTTGGCTGCATGTTTGAGTGTTAAAGTATAACAGCCATGGAAGCGCATGTATAGTATGAAGAGAAATCCAAATCCAGTTTGATATAGGTATACAAATTTTGAACCAATTTCACGCATAAGCCCTTGTGATGGGACAATGCAGGAAAAAAGAGCTCTAAAGGTGTGGCACCAGGCATTGAACAACATATGCAATTGATACAGAGAGCTTTACTTTACTGCTGGAGAACTACAGATGCAAACAGCAATGTTGGCATACAACTATAGATAGTCCTGATATAAACCATGAATTTAACAACCCATTTCTATTGTAATCCCTGATGTTGCATCATGTTTCGATTCAATGTGGTGCTGCTGATTCTTCAATATGTACTTCAGAGAGAAGCATCGCTATTGCCACGCAAGTTTGGCGGTCTCGTGAGCTACAATTGTGGCCTTGCTCGATTGTCATAAGAAGAAGGGTAACCCTAAGAAGAACGGCACGTGCAAGGGAGCAGGAACTGACCTGTACCATCGCAGCGGAGCTCCTCGCAAGCGGAGCAGCCAGCGACGACAGCATCGATGGCCGAACCACCTCCTTCACTGGCCGAAACCACCCTCCAGGCCGCTCTGACCGCCTCCCGGAACGGCCAGGTGCTCACCACCACCGGGAACGCCACGCCTACTTCGCCCGCGCCTTCGCCGCCCACCACCTGATTGCACCCCCACAAACCCCAACAACTGAAATCCGTCATCAATTGATGCAAAAAAACAATACAACTCCACAGACCAAATCGATTCGGATCTACGCTTACCGAGCACCAATTGAACCGAATTAGCAGGAGCCCTATGAGAAGCCCCACGGAACTCCGCCTCATGGAATCCATGGAAGCGGGCGTCGCGATAGACTGGATACAGGGGCGGACTGGCGAGTCCGCCGGTGACTGGGTGGTAAGCTTACCGCGATCTGCTCATACAGGCGCTTCGATGGGGACCTATCCCACATGTCAGTGAGCTGGCAGCTGGATACTTCCATGCGGGCTCCACATGTCGGTCAGTTTCGGGCTTGTATAGGGTGCCATTCCAGAAGCTGAAACCCGAATAACCTGGTGACGGCGGCGGGGATGGACGACCGAGGCGGCGGCGGCGGCGGGGAGGCCGAGAGGTGGCCGTGGTGGGCTGCGGCGAGCGCGGCTCAGGCCGCGGCCGGGGTCGCGTGGTTCCGACGCGGCAGGGGCGGAACGGCGGTGGCGATGCCGTTCAAGGCATTCGCCATCGCCTCCCTCTTCGTCGGCGCCGGGGCCACCGCCGTCGCCGCTGGGGTGCTTGCCGCGGGCGTCGGATCGGTGAGGCGTCTAATCGAAGCTTCCGTCCCCGTACGGCGAACGATTTTGCTGCTCGAATTTTCGCTGACCTGGTGCGCGTGAGTGTGTATCTGCAGGTGGAGGAGATGAAGGGCGTGGGCGCGAGCATCCGGCGGTGGATGGGAGCTCCTCCTCGCCGAGCGGGAGGCAGTGACTGACCAGCACCCTGCAACTGTGATTTGGATGAGGATTTCTCAGCCCTGCTAGGAAACTACGGAATGCTGAGGGGGTGGATTGCTTCACGTTTCAGAGCTAAGCGTGTATCATTCTGAATTCTGAATTCAGAAATTCAGAATGCAGAGGAGTAATAAGATCATCCTTTGTTGATTTTACCTTGATGAGAAAAATTGTAGTTGAAATCGACAAACTTAGGTTTCTGATCCCTGAAAATTTAAGTTTGATCGGACGGCACCTTGTTTTTGCCAGGTTGCACACACAAGGCCTCGTTCCGAAGTTACTTTGCATCCTTTGTTTGATTTTCTTTTCTGATGAGAAAAAAAATTGCAAACTAGTTGAAATCGACTTTTACCAAACATAGGTTGGGTTGGAAGGATGGCAATTCGTAAGATCCTGATCGGACGGCAAAAGAACGCCTGGATTTTTGCCAGGTTGCAACAACAAAACAAAATGCTTTATTTCCCACACCATGTGTCGGAGGCTAGACAGTAGGCACGAAGTATCCTTTCCTTTCCTTGGTCCGCGGAAATCGGAGGTCGTGGGGGTGGGACGAGCGGTTAACCACCCGCGGTCGTGCGCCCGCTCCGTCGACGCTGGCGGCGCCCCTTGGGAATCAAACCCGTCCGTCGGATCCCAGCCGGACGCCCCCAACAGCGCCACGTGCGCCACTCGCTCGCCCCCGCCCGGGCCCCATAAGGAGCACGACGACACAGAGCGCTCTCCCGCGACACTTCTACTGCCTGCGAGATCGCTTAGCGTGGAGGCAATGGCTCGAGCACCTGGCGGCGCCCGGCGGCGGGGCGGAGGCAGCGGCAGGAGGGACGCGGCGGCGGGCAGGGGCGAGGCGGTGCGGAAGGGGCACTGGACGGCGGAGGAGGATGCGGTGCTGCTGGAGCACGTGCGCGTGCACGGGCCCCGGGACTGGAGCTCCATTCGATCCAAAGGCTTCCTGCCGCGCACCGGCAAGTCCTGCCGCCTCCGCTGGGTGAACAAGCTCAGGCCAGACCTCAAGACGTACGCGCAAACCCCCTCCCTTTGTTTTCTCCCCTCTGATTCACTTCTCCTTCGCGTTGCTTAGTTTGAGTGCACTGTGAATTCTTAACTGCATTTGCATTGTTATAATTGATGCGATTCTAGTTGTCAGAATTTCGTTTTGCTTAGGTTTAGGCTGCACTGGTCCCGAACCATTCCTCCCACCCCTCGTATTCTCTTCTCTGCACTGCGCTTGATTTGTTGTGTTCTGCATTTTGTGCACGGTTCATCACAAATTCACCATGGTGATCGGGCGCCTTGCAACAGTGGCTGCAAGTTCTCTGCAGAGGAGGAGCGGGTGGTGCTGGAGCTGCAGGCGCAGTTCGGGAACAAGTGGGCGAGGATCTCCACCTACTTGTCGGGCAGGACGGACAACGACGTCAAGAACTTCTGGAGCACCCGCCAGAAGCGGCTCGCCAGGCTGCTGGGAACGCCTCTCCGCGGCAGGTCCAGCAGGAGCAGGAGCGCCAGGGCGCAGGCGCCTGTTGCCTCCTCTCTGGAGTCGCGACCCGCCACCGTGGTAAAGCCCTCGCAAGTTTGCAGCACACATTGCCCGCTCCTCTTTCTTGGCTACTTGTTTTACAAGTCTTGTCCCTCGCAATTCACTGACATAAATTTTCAGAAGTGATAATTTGCAGTTTGAAATTTGATGACATTTTTTTCTTCTTTTTTTTAACATGAATCCCGGATGCGTCGTCAGGTTCCCTGCCTGGATCAAGTTCCATTGGAGGGCAGCTCCTCTGGTGTTCATCCATGCAGAGCAGCAATACCATTCATGGACGCACAGAAAGTTCCATTGGAGGGCAGCTCCTCTGGTGTTCCACCTATGCAGCGCAGCAACACCATTCATGGACGCGCAGAGTGCTGCACTAGCCCCGTACGATTGGGCAGGCTCCGGGCTTGTCGGTTTCGACGGAGCACTGCCGCTGGCCTCCGACAGCCACGCGTGCTCGTCGTCCAACGCTGCCGCACTGCCACCACTGCTGCCGTTCGACCAGCCTCCGTACCCTCTGCTCGACTTCCCAGGGCTACCACCGGCGGGCTGGAACATGGCTCCTGGGTTCGCCAACGCCGGCGCTATGGACCATCTCGCCTACCAGGAGCTGCTGCCGGTGACGCAACCCGCTCCAATGATGCTCCCGTTCTTCGGCACGGAGTACCCGCACGGCGGCGTCAAGGCCGAGCTTCCGGACGCGGCGCCCGACAACTTCTTCGAGGACCTGCCGCCGGACATGTTCGACTCCCTTGATCAACCGCCGCCGCCACTGTCACCGGCTGCGACGAGCTCTGGATTTTGAGATTGGCCTTTCTTATCACGAGTGCCGTAGTTGCCAAACTTGCCATTGAGGCATTGATGATTGACCATTGTTTTCTGGTTGGGTATTTGCCTGTTCTGACGCTGCTGACCAGTACTAGGCTACTAGCGGCTATTGAAAGTTGTAGCCTTGTAGATTGCAGGCAACTTAACTTCTGCGATGCTTCAAATTTGAGCTTTGCGTTGGACATGGAAACTGCAATGCTTGTAACCATAGTTGCAAGATGCATTAAGTATTAATCACATGTATGTGATGTATGCAAATCTTAGTATGCTGTAAGATTAAGATCGGTATCAGAGATGCAAGAAGTTTAGCATGTAAGTACTATGTGACAGTGTTAGTGCCATTTGGGGTTTTTATGCAAGAAGTTTTTTACCGATCAAGAATTCATGAACAGCGAACTTCATTTCCTTGTGACAAACTTTTCTTCTTGATCTAAAATTGACGGGTTTGGCTTCCAATTGTTTACTGAAGAGGTGACACGTGCGGCGGCTCACATGAGTCATGACTAACTGAAACGGGCCATCATATGACTCAACCATGTTCAATTTTGGGTTCTCATCGTACAACAGACCTGACTGTATCTAATGATAGATACAAAGTGTTCAAGATGTTAACACGTCTTGCGCCTCCTTTAGAACAAAAGAAAAAAAGATGGAGATATTCTAGAGGATTAGAATTCTATAGGAAAAATTCATATGATCCCCTTTGAGATAAAAAGATTGGGTTGTTACAAAACCTATGAAATTCATACGAGATGTCTTGTTTTATAGGAATTTTGGAAGAATTCTACCAAAAGTTTGGACCTCGTGGAAAGTTGCCTTTGTATCGCGTTCTCATCGAATTTTTTCGTGTTTCTTGCACTTCATCCAAACATTTGATCTTACAGTTCCATGTATTTTTCGATCCATAGGATTGAAGATGCTAGGACATTCAATTCATGCATGTATTTTATCTCTACATTCCAAAGAGACACTAAGGGGTTGTTCGCTGGTCTGAAATTTTCAGCCAGCTGGCTGATCCCCACTCTCAAGTTACTGTTCACCAAACCAGCCAAACAGTGTTTTCTCTCACTACAAACCAATCGAAACAATGTTTTTTAGCCAAGTTTCAGACCAGCGAACGGGCCTAAAACTTTGCCATGTGTTTTGTTTAGAATAAAGGTATTAAAAACTAAAAAAAATAGAGGTACAAAAAATTGCAGAGCCCTGAGGTATTATGATACCTACTATTAAGCAAGTATAATAAAAAATTGTAGGTGGTTTTGTACACTGAGGTGGAGGAAAGAGGTGTAAGTTTACGGCCAGCTTATACATAAAAATCAAGAAATTTTATGAGATAAATAAATTGACCATATTTGAGCCAACTAATATATGAGTGGACTGGAATGTACGTTGTAAATTTACATACAGCCAGCAATGGGTTGTGTTATTGTGGGGGGTATGACCCCGGATACCCACGGCAGATCACATGGGCTGTGCCTCAGGGGCGGCCTAGCCCACAAGAGGAAGCCTTGCGGGGCACGACGCTGCTCGGGATCTCCCGCAAGACACGGGGAAGATATCCTGAAGATACTACGAAATCTGTTAGGATGCGTATGATCCCATGATTCCTGTAATATGTTATTACTTTCTGGTTATCTCTCATATCTAACCGACTTGTTGTAACAGAACCGACCAATTTATAAGAGCACAAGTACGAAAGCAATCACCGGAGTGATCAAACCGTCATACTTGAACCCATATAAACCCGGTAGTCAACTGAAACCACGAAGGATTTTAAACCAACTTGCATACAACCAAGATCACAGTAATTCAACATAACAAGCCACATGTTACATCCATTTCACAAGTAGTTCGCAAGTACCTCATACATCAGAGTACACATAATTATTACAAAACGAGTTCACAAATAGCGGAAGTAAAATAGTTTGAGACCATCACACACACTTAGTTCAAATACAAGCCAGCACCATAGTCATATCCAGCAAAAACAGTAAGATAAGATAACATAGATGATCATGCCCATGATCTAGTCTTCATCCCCAGCAGGGTGGAGACAATACTTGCAGTATCCGTTATAGAGCACGTCATCTGCAACAAGAGGGAATAAACCCTGAGTACGAGAATGTACTCAGCTAGACTTACCCGTCATAAACCAAAATAAAAGACACCTAAGGAGTATGCAAGGCTTTATCAGTGGATCTTGCTGGACAACCTTTTTGCATAAAAGCTTGAGTAACCATTAGCATTATTCACCTGTACTAGCAGTGACTTTTAGCCATTTCCTACCATCTATATTAGCACCTGTACTAATCAATTATTTGATTTAGTTGCAAACAATAATAACCATATCAGGTATTTCATGGCTCATTATTATCATCCTCTTCATGATCATCATCATTTAACCATATCTTTATATTTAGTGAATCTACGTTGCCGCTGCTCAGTCAAGTTTCTCACTATCCGGGAGAGACGGCGATTCGAATCGATTCCTATCCAGCTGGAGGGGTATTCCTAACACAAACCTAGGCATACCGCGCGAAGGCAGCCTTAGGTCACCTTTGGTACATCTTAGGAATCGCGGCTCCGAGCAGCGCCGCACCCTCAGGGAGTCCACTCTGGCGGTGGTCAATCTCACCTCGGACTTACGCCAATAGCTCCCCCGCACATCCTTACTACCGCCGAGGTGCGACTTTCACTTCTCGGTCTTCCGCCTGAGTTGAGCTACTCGGCTTCGCGGTCGGAACGAGTTATCCGCCAACTAAGTGATAGGCATCGTTCAACATGACATGAGGACGCATAAATGAATCGGTCCTTAAAAGCGACACAGACGGGGATAGATTCACACCCAAGGCCTCCATGCCTTGTTGCTTTGCACTACAAATCATCCCGTCCGATCTCTTTTCAATATTAACACATGGTTCTTTTTCATGATAGCAATTATAGCCAACCGTGACCAGAGCTCATCCTACATCTCGCAGGTGACAGGAAATCACCCGACTTCTACCGGTCTAAGCATAGCTAAGCACCATTCGATCCTACACTTAATTAGGATTCATAGGATTTTATCTGAACAAGGTAAGGATATAATGCAACGATTGGTTCCAACCAATTCCTATACTTAATGCATCATCAACAATAAAAGATACTCAAGATATTTGTAAAAACATGGGAGAGTTAGAATGCTCTGGGGCTTGCCTTTCAGAAAAGAGGAAGGTTGGTGATCGGGGCACTCAAGAACTTCTTCGCTGGCTCCTTCTTCGGGTGTCTGCACCTCCGGCTCTGAGCTTCTTCTTTGCTCCTCGAATCTTGGCTCAAATTCCAGAAGCGTTACTCCCCCCGGAACACCTATTGCATGCATATGCATAGTATAAGAATCATGCATGCATAAGAGATGAAATATGATGATGAAATGTACAGCCATGTATGAATGGACGCATGAACAATATGATAATACAAGCTTTACATCTATTTTACCGAGTAGGTGCATATCTTTATTAGAAAACAAGAACGGCACACTCACCAAGTTCTAATAACCTAAGATAAAGTTGTTCATCTTCAGTAAAAGGTCTAGCACCTGCAATTTAACAATTTATCTTAATTAGCCTAGCATCTAGACATCACATCAACTCATATAAAGCAAACAAGTCATTCACTGCACTCAACAGTTTTGCAGGCTGCGACAGCAGCAACAAGTTTGACCCATAACTAGAGTTCTACAGATCCAAATACCCTGATTTAAGACTTTATGGAAAGCTTATAAAATTATCTACAACTTTCGTTTAATCACCAAAGTCTAATTCAAACTCGAACTAGGTCAAATAGACTGATCTTGCAAAACTATCCGTGGATTCCAGAGAGCAGGCAGTTGGGAGTGCTGTCTTCCAACTGGCATAACTCTCAAACTACTAGACCAAATGCCTTGAAATTTTAACAAAAGCTATATAAACAAGTTTCCTACAACTTTGTTATTGACCACTTTCACAGCAAACATCAACTTCACCAGTTAATTTGCTTAACTCTAAAATCTGTCAGAAAGTCACTATAAATGAATTATAGTAAAAATAATATTTCATTACATACAAGAATAACACCATGAGTACTACCAATGCTACTAACAGTTAACATACATTAAATGAACATAAAAAAACATAGCGGCCATTCCTAAATAAATTATTTTCATGCCGTTATTAATTTATTTAGATATTTAGGTTAAATAATAAACACCTATCCAAAGTGTATAGAAAATTCTACAAAAATTACAGTAGCTTATATATGTCCCAAATAGACTACTGTATAAATTTCACATCATTTCAACAAACATAACATCCTACACAAAAATAACAAGATCGTAGGGCTTAAAATAGCATAAATAGAAAACCCTAGTGAAAAGTGTCAAGCAACAGATTTTATATTTTTCTTAGGTTCATCATAACACCATAATACTGTATAAAAAGTTTCATGCTCACTGGATACATATTTTTACCATGAAAAATAGCACAAGAATCTCCTATTTATAAAAAGGAAATTAATAACTCAAAAATTATCCATGCAATGACTCTCAAATTTTTACCAAAAACTATAATTACCAATAATAGCTCACCCACAAAATTTCATAATTTTTGGGGCACAGAAACTCAAGATATAAATTAAACAAGTTTGCATTCATTTAAAAACACATTTCAAGTTTCAATTTAAATCTTCCAAAAATTCCACTACAAGTGCTCATGTTATATTTTTCCTAAATACTACACTTCACTGTGATTCTACCAAAATTAGCATCACTCCATTTGGATCTACCAAACTCTACATATAGATTTTACAAAATAGCATAACAAATCTGTATTTAAAATCAAGTCTAAAACTCTATGAGCCATTGACAGGCGGGGCCCGCGGGGTCAATGGACCCACCGGCCAGTCACAGCCGAAGCAGGGGAGGCCGTTGACCGGCCACCGCTCGACGACGGCGAGGAGTTCGGC